CCGCCCGTACTAGGCCGAGACACGTTCTGACCATCTCCGGATATCGTTGGCAAATCGTGCCGGTTGTCAGCACGAGGACCTTGGCCAGCGCTAGCTCTCACACGAGGCCAGATGTCAAAGCAGCTTGTGCAACGTCTCAAACTTTCGACGAGCACCGGTGGCTAACACAAAAACAACCTACTAATGTGGAGCTTGCTGAATTGATTTTCTATCCCTCTCCCAAGTATGGTGTTGGAAAACAATTCTGCCGGTACTTCATCAAAGTGAAGTGGGTAGGCGAGGCCAGGCAGCTTGACAGCTTGAGTGCTCGATATCAGCCAGTTCTGCAGGTTGTTATCCAATGTGGGAAGCATCTCAAGGAGAGAGAGAGAGAGAGAGAGAGTGAGTGAGTGAGTGAGTTTGCTTACTGGCCAACTGCAGCAAAGCCTGGTGTTTTTCTTCCAGGTTGCCCCTCACTGTGCCGCCAAGCAGGCGCCTCTTTGCAGCTGGATTCTATTGAATCTCTGAGTTCTCATGTGGCTCGAGTCGACTTAGCTGTCGCAGAGAGCACATGGCCATGCTTTGATGTCACAGACTCACAGACAATGCAGACCATGTTGTAGCAGTTCAGCTGATTATCGCCTCGGCCAGGCCAGAGCTTGCAGTCGGCTCGAGGAACGCGCTTTCTGTGGCTTTGTGGAACGTTGCACTTCTGTTTGAAGTTCTCATTTGCCCAGGATAGCGCATGCGGGGAGGTGCCAACAAATGCTTCTGAATAATTGATCGTGTAGACACCGTGGTCCCTTCTGTGGAGAGGATAGTGGCTCCTACCCCAAGCACGCACCAGGTTGTATCCCCAGCCAGCTTTGTCAATCCACGGTCCTCCACAATCTAAAAGAGCTAAAAGCTGGTGCTGCCTGGAGCAGTTTATGACAATTTGACGTGCCTGAGGCATGGTTGATCACATCTACACGTTCGCAGACCCCTCCGCCACATCCAGGACTCACTCGATTGTTTCCTCTCAGAAGCTACTAGGGGCTCGTGGCATCGCTACCAGGAGCAAGGACGCTTCTAGGGGCTCCTGGCCTTACTACTAGGAACAAGAAGCTACTAGGGGCTCCTCTTCCCTTTCATTCACTCTATTTGCAGGGCCCATCGCAGTGGAGACCTGCAGACATGGAGCAGGTGTCTTTTTTTTGGGTTGCCTTTTCGAACATTTGCATATCATCTCAATTTCGCTCATGCTACGTGCAGGGGCACCGAGGCTGACGCTGGGCCTAGGTGGTTTACCTCCACCCCCAGGCATTTCGCTTTCCTTGAAATCTGATTTACCTCGCCTAGCAACTGTCTCACCCCGAGTGCTCCGCTTTGCATGACGCGTATCCCTGTGGCACAAAGTGGCCCAAATTCAGGGAGACTACAACCCCACACGTGGGAACGGCGAAGCCTGAAGGTAGAGCTTTTCCAGCTTCAGGAAGTTCTGCTCCCGGAAGGCCTTTGCCATTTGGCTAATGATTCGGCTTTCTGCTCCCGCATTCACGTTAAACCGGTGCTTTTTGCCGTCCTGGAGAGCTGCATGATTGCCACTCGTCGCCTCCCGCGCTTCTGTGTGTGCTGCAGATGGGGTCGCAAGGGTCATGCCCTCGCATATGCTCACGATAGTTTGGACTGACTCACCGATGACCTGAGCTTTTTACACACATTAGGCGTGACATCCTACGTAACAAGTTGGCAAGTCATTGTCCTTTGGCGCAGATTTGTCATGTGCAATGGCTTTGGCTTCTGATTCGGCAGAGCAGTGCTTGGCTCGGTGTGACAGACATAAGGAAGATCAAGGGAGTCGAACTGGTCAGAAACAGAGAGAGAAAGACATGAACAAACTCTTGTGGGCCCCTTTCGTATGTCCCTGAAGGGGGGGCAATGTGAAATACCTGTTTTTGCCAAAGGGAAGGGAACAAACGCTACGTTACTAGGAACAAGTGCCACGCTAGTAGTAACAGGTGCCTTACTAGTAGTAACAATGTTTGCTATTAGAAAGAAGTGCACGCCAAGCAGCTAGCAGAGTCGAGCAGCTTCAGGCCGGAGGTCGAGGTCGAGCTCACGGACGGCGAGCTGTCCGCCCAAATCGGAAGCATTTTAGCCGAGAAAGATCTCACTCAGACCTCCTTGAAAGAGGCGAGGTTGTTTCTAATAGCCAGGAGCCCCTAGACTAGCCCCTAGTAGCGTCCGTGCTCCTAGTAGTAAGGCCAGGAGCCCCTAGTAGCTTCTTGTTACTACTCAGCGATCCGTTTGGACCGGTGGTTTTCGCGCTCGCAAATCATTGCAGGTGAGAAGCGAGATCGAGAAACGACTGAATTTAAGCCCGGTACTTTCCAAGTTGCGTGAGGTGTGTGCGGCATGTGCGTCTTCTGACAACTTCTAAGGCCCTGGTTCTTTGGACGGGAAGAAGGAACAAGTGAAGCTTTTAGTGGCAGCACATGTCCAAAGACAGGCCCTTCAAGCGCTGCAGCAGTTGATTTGAGATGTAATCAGTGTTTGGCGGCCTTGAGGTTGAGCCGGAAGGGGAGGCGGAGTCTTCCAAGCAAGGGAAGCGGCAGCGCGAGGAACGGAAGGACATGAGATGACTTGAAGATGGAGTTTTGCCTTGATTATTTGTGGAACAGCGGCGCCCAATATTTTGCTGTTGGTGGGTGCAGTTGGGTGGTGTTTGCCTTGTTTCGCTTCATTGCAGGACAAACGTGCAGGAGAAGGCATGGGCCACGTTGCTGACATGTTGCCATGCTGAAGCGTGTCACGCTGACTTTCTGGCAGTTTCCAGAGCGGGTTGGTTCTTCTTCTTTTTTGCAAAGAGCTATGGGCAGGCAAAGGAAAGACATCAAAGTCCGGGCAGAGCACCAAAGAGCGTTGAGACCTCAGATTCTCTCCGATAGATTCTGGAGAGGCCCTCAAGATGCTCTCATTGGCCTCCAACCTACTAGCGATGGCCTCCAACCTAATAGCATCCTTGCTCCTAGTAGCGATGCCCTTTGTTCCTAGTAGCTTCTTGCTCCTAGTAGTACGGCCAGGAGCCCCTAGTAGAGTCCTTGCTCCTAGTAGTGATGCACTTGTTACTAGAAGTGCGAAACATGCCCTGCAAGGCCAAAGCTCTACAATGACTCGGAAGGACAAAGTCGATCAATCAATTGGCTGCACTTCTTTGTAGTCAGAGCTAATGACACCCAAGACACAACACCAAAAGGTCGCGTTCTGCAGAATGTTGAGGAACAGTGAGGAAAACGGTCCGTGGAAAACATGGTGCGCTGTAGGAGTTCATGAAAAAAGCCAAAGACGTTGTGGTCCACGGCTCAGTCTGTTTACTAGTAACACGTGCATCACCACTAGTAGCTTCTTGTCACTAGTAGCAAGGTACCTTGTTACTAGTCGCGTCCTTGCTACTAGTAGCGATGCACCTTGCTGCTAGCGGCTTCTTGCTACTAGTAGGCTAGTAGGCTCATTTTGGCTTCCTGTGAGCTGTCCACATCGCCCTCGCATTTGGGTGTCCAAACCGTTCGAGGTGCAAATTGGTGACAAGAAAGTCAAGGCACGACGCGAGAAGCGGACAAAGTGCTTCGTTGCTTTAGCCGATCACCCAAACCAGTTGGGGCATTTCGGGCGGTGAAAGCCATTTTGGGGAATTGGCAACAAATCAAACAGGCGCATGTGATCCAAGTCGAAGCTCTGAAGTCCAATATGCCTAGCACCACTGGTGCTTCTCAGCTGACTTACGCTCAGTTGACATGTCATATCGTTTGACTCAATTTCTTGTTTTGCTTCACTGCATCTCTCTTCTCAATTCTCAGTGTTCGAGCTCGGCTTTCTCATGCTTTGTTTAGTCTTGCTGCTCCAACCTAGTAGCAATGGCCTCCAACCTACTAGCGATGGCCTCCATAGCTTTCAATCTCTATTTGCACCTTCACATTTGGCCTCTTCACACAGGCTTCAGCCTCACTGCACCTCATCACCAGGTTGTACATTTGCACACAGCTGGTCTCACTATGCCTCATGCTTCGCCCCCATTTCTGCAGCATCTCATTTGACCGCTCAATGTGCTTGGCTCAACATGAGAGAGGAGCGAGCATCGGCTGCACACGTCACCTTGACCAGCTGTAGCTATGGACATTGTGTAAGTATCAAGTTCTTTGGACAGTTTGGCCATTGTTGGTGGCCTTGGCGCAGGCCACTCCGAAGCAGTTCTCCACTGGCAGTAGTGGTTTCTGGGCCAGCGCAAAGGCAGAAACGGAGCGGCAGAAGTCTTTCTTTTGGTCCAGTTCATGATGTGCTTCAAACCCGCCTTGAATGCTTGCCCTTTTGCACAGGTCGTCATTGATGTTGGGGGTGTGCCGTTGACTCTGCAGTCTTCCTGGCCATGTTTTGCCAAAAGACCGCCTCCAAACGGCACCAGTTCTTCACGTGAACTCGCTCACCTCCGCAAGCGAGTGAACTCTGCGCTTTCGCGGCCGTTTTCAGGTGCAGTTTGAACTTGCCCGTGATCGGCTCCAAGGAGTGGAAGGATGGGTGATGTGATGTGAGGGAGGCCATCCTCGTCAACAGCGCGTCGTCAAAAAAAGGAGGAGCCAGGACGCTACGAACGGGGCTCCTGGCCGTACTACTAGGAACAAGAAGCTACTAGGAACAAAGGGCATCGCTACTAGGAGCAAGAAGCTACTAATTAGGTTGGAGGCCATGGCTAGTAGGGTGGAGGCCACTGTCAGAGCGCAGCGTAACCAATACGTTCCACGGTTCAGGCTGCTTGTCAGCCTGCCACTTTGACGTCTCAAGCATGATGGGAATATAATACATCAGCTTCACAGATGCCTTTGTTCATTCATGTTGTTCTCACGCTTTCTGGTACAAATAGCTAGGTGGAGGCCATTGCTATTAGGTTGGAGGCCATTACTACGAGGAACCAGTAGCTACTACGAGGTTTGCAGGTTCAGGATTGATGTGACATGATAATTAAGGGGCTTAGACTCAGACATGCCAAAGGTTTTGAGCTGAACGCTGCGCCATGTAGACCACAAGGGAAAGGCTGTTTGATGACTGGGAGCTCATGGCCATGCACTCAGCCATCCCATGCACTCAGCCATCCCTTTTTCTTAGCAGCGATTGTCTTTACAAAAGCCGTACTGCATTGCTCAAACTTTTATTCAAGTAGTTTGGAGGCCATCGCTACTAGGGTAGAGGCCATCTAGGGTGGAGGCCATTGCTCTTAGGGTGAAGGCCATTGCTATTAGGTTTCTTTTGCTATTAGGTTGGAGTTGGAGTCCATCCTGCAGCTATTTGATGCTATTTGATGCAATGAGTTTGAGGCGATCCGCTCGAGTCTTCCTTCTAGTGCTTCCATGTGGTGCGTACGATGCGAGCCTTGGATTCCACATCCCTTACAACCAAGTCGGTCAACAGCAAGAGGCTTTGCGTGGCATTTCATTGTATTTATGGCCACTAGTTTCTAGAACAGTGGCATTGAGTGGCACCCAAAGGGCATTACAGTTGCGCAAAGTTAGGACCTACCTAGTGAACAATTTTTTCATTTTGCGACATCAATGCTTGGGCCAAATCAAGGATCCAACGTATTGCTTCTGCTCGGTTGTATGGGCCTTTCGCGGCATGTTGGCAGGGATGATCACGCCTGTTGCCTGTTGCCTTCTTCATCAACGATTTGGCATTGTTGCGTGATTCTTGCGCTGATTCGGCCGCGTGCCAGAAATGTCTATGATTACATGTACTATTTCTTGGACCTCAGTGTGGGCACTCCCCCGCAGCGGGTTTCAGTTATTGCTCCTTGCTTGCATAGCTCCCACTACTTCCCAACACATCGCCGGCCCCCACTCTGTGTGCGAGGTAGATACTGGCAGCAGTATCACCGCTTTCCCTTGCCAAAGTTGCAGGACCTTCAACAAAACTGGAGTGTCAAGTCAAAGTACCATATTGCCACAGTGTGATTAACTGATCTAAGTCGCAAGGCACTGCGCAAGTCATATGGACCCGCTCTTTGACATCACCAGAAGTAGCACTGCACATTGGTTGCCATGCGGTGCACCTGTCTTTGCTTGATTTCTTTTCCAACACTCGTGCATATGTGTTCTTTGTTTGAAGATGCTGGTAGAACCGGCCGACTTGACCAGGTCGAAGCTGTGCTCCTTGTTTGGGGCTCAGGAAACTCAGAGCTGCAATCAAACGCAAGGGGAGAGGACCTTTGAAGACATTAGGGACTAGTAGGTTGGAGGCCATCGCTAGTAGCTTCGAGGCGATCGCTCTTTAGGTTGGAGGCCACTACAGTCTTTCAATAAAGGCGCTTTGCACGTCAAAGTGTCTCTCTTCCTAAGGCACCTCTGATGGCAAGCACTGCACATACCACCAGGGCTACACCGAGGGCAGTTCCATTGGCGGATGGTGGTTTGAGGTGCCCACACCACATGGCCTGCATGCTCACACTACTGGCGCGAGCTATTTCCCATGCAAGACTGCTATCGGCCGCACCAATCCCAGTAGTGAGGACAGCGTTTTGTTCTCCAAATTCTTTGTGAGATAAAGCAATGTACTGCCACAACAGGGTCAAGAATGTCGTATCCCGGACTGTGCTCCACCCTGGCATTTGGTTTATGCTGGGGTTCACTTCCCTCCTTAAACCTCGTAAGCGATGGACACATCTGATTTATCCGGTTTCCAAACGTGTGCAATGATGCTTGGCCGCGGGATGCCGTTGGATGCCGTTGGATGTGGCTTCGTTGTAGTCACACCGTGTGGACCAACCGTTAGGCTGACCGTTTTGGAAAACGGGAGCCTTGCCGGCATATATGCCCATGGTATGGATTGGTATGCTATATGCCATATATGCCATATATGCCAATGCCAGACTCATCTAGACTCGCTAGACACCATGAACGAACCTTGAACATTTGCAAAACCAGCCGTTCCGTCAAAAAGGAGAGCGATCTCTCACATAAGATTTCCAAGTCCAAAGCACGTAGGTACACAGCAGTCCCCGAGAATTGCATTAGATGGCCAGTGGCAAGTGATGCTTCCTACTACAGTAGTCCATTTGTTGGCTTGTGTATGCTTGTGTTAAGAAGTGGTCCTGTCGAAGTTTCGCTCCTGTCTTGGACTACCTGTGCCACGACTCCGTGCTCTTGCAAGTGATCTTGGTAAAAAATCAAGTCGGAACCTTGGAACCGAAAGGAAAGGACCTTGGCTTCCTTGGTTTTTCGATCCTCTTGGCAGCTCTCCGCTCATGTAATTGATGTAACTGCCCCTTTTGTTCCGGTAGTCGCTTCACTAATCTTCACTAACTAGTCTCCTTCTTGGTTTGTTCAACTCGTTTCTGGCTATGCTTCACTTAGTGTTTACTGCACTTTCCTCCTTTTTGCCGTGCTGCCTTTCTGCTTCCCGTGCCTTGAGGCAATGCGTTCTAATCTGTTTTGGGCAGAGCTCTTGGAGAGATGTGTAGTTGGGGAGTAGAAGTTTCCTCCTCAGCAGAAATGCTCCGCAATCCCTGGATTACGCCCTCCACGTTTTTCTTTGCCTGTCAAGCGGCAACTTGTCACGCCGCCTTCGACCGGCCAATTCCCAAAGAGTCGTCTTAAGCGCTACAGCTCTGAGGGTCGGCGGGTTGGGGTGTGGTATTTTTAGGAAGACCATGACGATCGAATGTACAAGAACCTTTTCTTGGTGCTGTAGCGCTAGTAGGTTGGAGGCCATCGCCAGGTTCGAGGCCATTGCTACTAGGTTGGAGGCCTTTGCCATGCACTTTGTGAACATCACCCCGAGAGAATTCACAGTTTCTCGACAGGATGTGCTGCGGTCATCGCCTTAGTTGAGTGTGTCATCACCGTGAAGACATGGAAGAGAAGAACGCCAAAAAAGAGCTGAAACATGCTGAAACGTAGTTTCTTTGCGCCTTTAAGTAAATTCCTTTTATGTGTTTCATGTCAAGTGCCTCCCTTGCCGCGCAGCTCACTCTGCTCAGTATTGGGGACCTTTTCCAGCAGAACCCGGAGATGCGTGCGCGATTGGGGTGCCACCAGGAATGCAGACGCAGTGTCGCAAAGCATTTCCACGTTTTGATGTGGCTTGTTTTGCGGATGCCTGTAGCTAGTGAGTGTCCTTTTGGGTTCAGAAGTGGGGCATTACCATGCAGACACTGAAGTACTTGGTGTATCTGGGACCTGGGAGTAGTCACGCTGAAGGGTAGAGAATGCTTGGGCGATAGGGCCCAGAGAGGCAAATGCGTGAAGAGACCACTCTGTGTGATTTTTTCAAGGGCACCTTTCAAGTGTGCTGGCTCAACCCCTTTGTGGGCAATGCGGCGTCCCGTGTTGCCCTTCTTGGTTCACCGCCAGGAGGAAACACGGCTCTTCTACACGCAGAAGGCCAATGGCATCATGGGCATCAGGAGCGGGATCCCAATTACAATTTTCGCACTGATAGCTTCCACCCTAGAAGCAATGGCCTCCATCCTAATAGCTCCTGGTCTCATTAAAACCAACCAAGTGTGTTTGGACTTGCCAGGCAGCCGCAAGAAGGGCAGCCAACTTTGCTACAGCAGCTGATGCGAGATAGGGACCGGATCAATGCAGATGTGGGAAGCCCAGCCGAGCAGGACCGGTTCCTATCACGGCATGAGACGCCCTGCCCCCGAGCAGGTTGAAAGGCAGGAAGTGCAATCCTTGCGAAAACCGAAAGAATTTGGCTCACCCTGGGGGACCTGGCGAGAAGAACATGGGTCACAAACACGATTCAACCAAACAAACACGTTTGGTCGCGTGAAAGCTGTCCACATCCAATCCCAAGCAGTAGTGGTAGCGTTTCCTTTCCGAAAGGCCCACTGTGAAGCACCGGTGAATGCAAGGCTGCAGCCACATGGTTGTCAAAAGAGAAGCAGTCAGCAGAGTTGCATTGTTTTCAGGACGGCCAAAACATCATGTGACGGAAGATGTTGTAGAACGAGAGGACAAAAGAATCATGATGAATCGCTTGCTTCTACCAGTGTATATGGAGAAGGTGACCGGTTTCGTGCAATTCTTCATGCAATGTGCTGCTTAGTCGGGCTTTGGGTATTTTTTGGGCTGGAGGCGATTGAGACTCAGTGGGGACAGCGGTGCGTCATGCGCCTTGCATGGCTGTGGGTCTTAACTGGACATGGTGAACGGCTATTAGATCTACTTCATGTTTGTTGTACCGTGTCTGTTTGTGGTACCCTCCCTACCCTCCCATTGTCCTTCACTTGAAAGTGGCTGAGATCTTTACTATGTGCATCGCGGACTCCGGTGGTCGTCTCACTGTGGGTGGGCTCAATGAGTTCAGACCTCAGGACTGAGTGGGCAGGGCAGGTGCGTGTCTGGAGTTCTTAGAGGACACTGCAACATCTAGGGCAAGGCAAGCTAGGTTGCTTCTAGGTTGGAGGCCATCGCTGGTATATGGGTTGGAGGTCATTGCTATTGGGTTGGTTTTCCAGAAGAGAAGGCAATGAGGACAACACGAAAAACTGAGATGGCAAGGCCCCCTAGGCCCTAGAGCCTTCGCTGACAACTTGGCTAGGTCTGATCACAGAGGAGAGGCCCGCCGCCGGAGCGACTGAAGCTGTGAATCTGTCTAGCCTCAGTTTTGCCTGTGTTGCCATGGGGTGAACAAGGTGACAAACTTGTTGTGTCCCCGATAGACTATTACCTTGTGCTTCCCCCGCGGTCATTTTGGAACGCAGGGCTTTAGGTACCATGACAATGACTGCATTCGTAACGGAACAGCAGGGTTCAAGTCTTTACAGGGTAGGCTTCGCATGCTAGGTTGTGTGCCGGACTGCGACCAAGGTCAGATCAGGAAGGTGAGTCGAACCGCTGCTTGAGCTTCAACCCAAGCGGAGAGCAAACCAGATACTGCTGGGGTTCTCTCGGAAAAACACAACGCCAGCACACAGTCTCTGGCCGCGCTCCTGAACCGTTTGTCCGGGTGTTGTCCTCCAGTTGTCCTGTTCTTGGGCCGTGCTGATGCAAGTGTCCTCCTTTTGTTCCCAAAGCAGCTCACGTCCTTGGTCTAGTCCAGGCTTTGTCTGGGTCTGTTGGCCTGTGTGTGCTGCGTCGGCGTATCCACGTCGGAAGCCTGGTCCGGGCCTTGTCCCTTTTTGCACATATGACCCGGGCATCAGGAACTATTGAACTATTGTCTTCAATTCATTTTTTGTTGACGTGCCATTCGCTGGTGGCAAAAGGAATATATTTGCAGACGTTCCTACCAACGTTAGAATTCAAGGAGTTTGGGGTCTATGCTGGCATAATTTTACAGGTATTAAAACATCACAAGCTATTGCAGGTCAAGTACATCAAGATGAGATTGTCGGGCGGCTTTTTCAATGCTGGTTACTCAGGGCATGTTGCAATGTGCATAATTACCGCATACGTATATTTGGCATTTTTGAACTCTCCAGGTCTACTTGCAAGCCGTGTCCATCGCTGGCAGTGCTGTCGGGGGGCCTGCTCATGCAATTCCAATCTGTCCTAGAAACTGGGCTTAATGTGTTTGGTGGAAGATGAGCATAAGCAAAGACGCTGCTAGGTCTCCTGGCCTTACTACTAGGAACAAGACCCTGGCCTGAGGGAGAAAGAAACCGGAAGGCTTTTGAGAATCTACGCATTCTGTACTAGCCAGTGCGCCCTGCGCGGCGATGAGAGCTGAGAAAAGAGATGCGATGACCAACGAAACAAAAATCCGACGAGTTCGAACAAAGCGAAGCACACCATTTGCAGCTGGAGCCCGGAGTTGGGCGGCAAGAAGATCCTAAATAGCATTAGACAGCCAATGGAGAGGTTCCCTTGTGGAGGTTCGAGTAGATTCAGCGAGACTTCCGATGGTATGCTTCCTGTGACCGACGTTGACGGAACAGCTGTGGATGGCTCAGGCTGCAGGCTTTGGCACGACCATCATCGACAGCGGAACCACGTGAGACGCTTGAGCTTCTTCTCTCCAGTTGAAAGTGACATGCCACTCACTCATCGCTTAGCTCAGCGTCTTCACAAGATGAACCGGGGCCCTCCGGGGCCCTCCGGGGCCTTTCGCCTTTGGACGACCACGGCCCGTGAGGTGGACATATTTTGGTTCACGGCCCTACCGTGCCATTCGGAAAGGCATTGAGGAGAATCTGCAGTTCAAGTCACAATGTTTCAATCTATTTATGCTATGCCAATAGTTTCATGCTTGATGTTCCATGGTTGCAAATGAGTAGTGATGGACAAAGGTTCACAGAGAAATGTCGGTCGATGGTATATAGCCTGCTCAAAGACCACCCTGAGTTACTCCACCCTGTTTTGTTCCCATCCAAGTCTTCCCTCACCAGCTTTCTTCTATCTCTGCTTTTCTCCTCGCAAATGCTTTGCGTGTACCTTGGGTGGGTTTTGTATGAGTACGGTTTTGTGAGTGATATGCAGTGAGAAAACGGGAGAAAACGGTGAGACATATCTGAAAAGTGAATCCACGTTTTCTCGTCCCAAGTTTGATGGCATCTTTTAATGGCGAATGCTCAAAGATGCCACAGGCCACGTTGCCGGACGAAGCAGTTGCGCGAAGAAGGATCAAGATTTTTGACCTGGTCCTCCCGCAGTTAGCGCAGACATCATTGGCTGACGACTTTTATCTTCACTTTCCCTTGCTCTAATTTGCTCAACAAAAACATCATCCAACAGTGTTTTTCTTGAGGCCCATCCTGAGATGAAAGGATCACATTCTATACCACTCTTCCCGGGCATGCCTCCTTAGCTCACAATGACATTATGTTCAGATGTGGTAGCAACAATGTCGATGTCGTGGCTGCTATCACTCAACACTACAGAACGCGTTTCGAACCACTTTTCGGCGGATTCGATGAATCTCAGCGCAGGGAAATCCAAGAACCTCAAGGTACGAAGCATTCCAAGCTGAACATTGCCGGCCAAGCTGCCCTGAATTCACGGCCCAACAGCAGAGGCATGTCAGCAACACAGTGGTCCCTGTTCAAGGCGTCCGAAAGGCCTCTTGCCAACCCCACCGGTGCTGACAAGGTGGACAGGAACTCTGACAAGCGGCAGGAGTCGGACAGCTATGAAGAGAACGATCTGGCTAAGCCGTCGTGAGGGACGGGAGGCTATCGCTACCAGGTTCGGGGCTCCTGGCCTTACTACTAGTAACAAGAAGCTACTATATAGTAGCAATGTTTTCCGTGCTGTTTCTTGCCCAGTCTTGTCCATCGTCGACAGAGCCGCTGTTGGTCTCAACACGTCTCAACCCTGAGCTTCGAGGCAGATCAATATTGAGAGGCTGAAGGAGTTTCAATGCGATTTCCATTCAATTGAGTTGCTACCTGCTGTTGAGTTGCAAAACCTGGGTTGTATAGTTTTTCCTTGTTCCGTTAGGACAAACCTTTTCCCGTGCTTCTTCAGTTTCCATTTCATAAATACCTCCACGTCCATTCAAAAGCCTTTTCATTTGTGGAGGCCTTTCATCCAAACCCTTCAATCGGTTGGAGGCCATCGCTAGTAGGGTGCTTTGATGCCTATCGCCCCTCACGATGCTCTACTGGCCTTTCGGCTGTTGTCCGTTTCCTGTGATCTCTTGTTTGTCATGTGCTATTGTTCCTTGTCAGTGTTGTGATGTCTTCCAAAATAGTTGTCGGCTTCAATGATGGAAAGAGGAACTTGGTGCATATGCTGGTGGCAATCGGTCCAAAAAATGGCACCATCAGGAGGCCGACAGGATAGATCTACTGTACACTGTACTTGTTCATATTGTCCCCACAGGCCCCTTTCACAAGGAAAAGCAGGTTTTCGGCATGGGGACTTTCTGGAACCCCTCTCTGCCCGGTTTTTGAACTCAGGACTTCTGCAGCGCTCAAAAGAGCTGTGGGATTCAAAGGGGTGACTTGCCTAAACTTAACTTCATCCAGTCACATCACTACACTGAAATTGTATGCAGATGATATCACTAGTAGGTTGGAGGCCATCGCTATTAGGGTGGAGGCTAATTCTATGTGGATTCTATGCAATTCTGAATGACTTCAAATCATTTGCCTCTGTCATAACTGATTTGAACCAAGTCCTCGTCACGTGAGGTAACTGTTGGGAAGCATCTGACTTGTCGGGATTCCCTGACCTCCAGGCAAGAATGTCGTTTTTTGATGCGGAGCTTGGTCGTGGCCACCCAGTTTGCATTTTCATGTTCGCTTCAGACCGTTGACTTTGCACAATTCTGCAGATGGACTTCGATGGTGTGGATGTTCGCTGGGTACCACGAGCCTATCTCTACCGGAAGGCAATCGGAACGCGCTGGTGCTATTCCTTTCAGGCACCAGTCTTGGGTTCTTTTGGGTAAATGCAGCAGATCGAATTTGTTTATTTAATTTTTCCTGTCGCGTTTGGCATTTGTCAATCTTGCTGGATTCCCATGTGGTTCGGACTGTTTTGTGCCTGGCACTGTCGTTTCCGGTCAGCAAGAGCAGGACGATGGCCCTGGGGCAAGTACGGTGCTGGGTGCAAGCTGGATGATGCATCAGGCACAAAATATGTGACAGTGACTTCTAGCTTCTAACCTCTAGCCGATTCTAGCCCACTTGTTAATTTCTTATTGCCTTGAGCTTTCCTTAGAACCTCTTTCAGACATCCGGCAGCCGGGCAGGACGTCATTTTCGATATGGCGAGGCAGCGTGTAGGCTGCCCACAGTGACGTTTCCTTGCTTGGCTGTCCGCGGTGTGGTCTTACCTAGCAGGTGTCGTCCCAGCCGATTGTCCCAGACATCAGATCCGACCTGAACATGATCCAGAGGCGGTGGTTGCGGGTACTTACCTGATGGAGGCCATTGCTATTAGGTTGGAGGCCATTGCTAATTGAAGAAAAACATCAAAGGAAGAAAGGTCTGTTGAAGAGTGCCTTACTGGTAACAAGTGCCACGCTAGTAGTAACAAGAAGCTAGTAGTAACAAGTGCCTTACTACTAGTAACAAGAAGCAAAACTTTCTGTTGCAGAACGCCGGATGAGTTTGCTCACAGTCCCTTCAGCGCCGATGCCAGCCCAAGCAGTTGTGGCATAGGCGATGACAAGGGTGCGTGGAGCCACCATCACCAGTGTGACCACATCAAGCCGGGTTCCTTTGTGTGATTGAAGCACAGGCCTTTTCACATGTTCAGCTTTTCCTTGTGTGTTCAAGTCGGTTGAGCTTGGAATGCGCTTGAAGGCCATACGTAGAAACACTTTCACTTTGGCATCCATTGAGGCAAAGTGCACTCTGTGCTGGTGCAGCCTCTTCAGGTGCTTGTGAGTTCGTGAGATTGCAAGCTTTCAAAAGTGCTTGTCCGGCAGGTGAAGAAGTTCAACATTGGTTTGCTTTGGGCTGGCCTTGCCAGTGGGGCGCGCTACCCAGGAAGCGACAAAAACGGCACACGCTCGAAGGGTGGGCCAAGCCAGGCTTGCTTGGCAACGGGCTTCATCAGCATCGTCGCGGCGGCGTGTTTTCCTCAGAGATGGAGAGCGTGTTTTCCTAGTAGCGATGCCCTTTGCTCCTAGTAGCTTCTTGTTACTAGCAGTAAGGCCGGGAGCTACTAGTAGCGTCAGACCATTTCTAGTAGCGATGCCCTTGTTACTAGTAGAACTCAACAAGAGGCTTTTGTTTTGGCGCTACGTGCAAGGTGCAGGCCACAAGCTCCATCAGAGAAGGCCTTTTCCAACCATTCCAATCACAGAAAAATCAGTTCAGTGAACTTCAGTGCTCAAAGTGAATAGCAAGCGTCACCTGTTTGTGCACAAGGCAAGTGCTTTGTGCACTGCACGGTCCAGCTACCCGTTTGAAAGCAGTAAACTAACAGGAAACCCCAGGACTTCGGAAAGGCATTCAACCGAGACATTTTTGGAGTTGGCTGGGCCATGCTGGCGAGCAGTGGACCTGAACGAGAAGACCGATCCGAAGAATGAAGGGTGAGAGAGTAGACTCTGTTGTGTGTGTGGCTTGTTTTCGACCTTGGAGGGGCCAAATTTCAGGTATGGCGCTTGCAGGGATAAGTAATCTCAGTCTCGTCCACGTTTGGGACATCGCAGCGTACCTTCCACGCAGCTGTAGTCACAGCACTGTTCCGAAAGAAATCCTCAACAGACAACCTGTCCTTATTTTGTTTTCTTGGCGTGTCGTTCTCATTAAATGGGATGGTTGTCCTTGTTCACCTGAAAGATGTAGTGGCCCAGCACTCCCGGGTCGTTGCAGGGCTACACTGCGTAAGGCAATCGCTCCATGCCCAGATCTGCATCCTGCTTTTAATGTGAACGGTTGGTTCACCTTGCAGTTGAAAGGTTGTTTTTTTTCCAGAGAAAGGCGCACATGTCTTGCACCGCCTGCTCAAGATCTGTTGTAGTGTGAACGGTGGCAAGAACGCACATGCACGATGTGTTGAGGGGAGGATAACTAGGCTGCTACCAGCTCGTCTGGACGTAGCTGCAGTCGTCGCCAAAAGCCGCTTGGGACCGGTGTGGGGGGTGATAGAGCGGTTTCTTGCGGAGCTAACATCTGCGCAGTATGGATTATTGTGCTCCAACTTGGAGGGCTTGGAGATGTCGAGAGAGAGAGGTGGAACACTAGAACACTACTCATACTGGAACCGGTAAATGCTTGTTGGCCTGAGTTACACGAAGACAGACAAAAAGGTCTAAGGTCTAAACCAAACAGAAAATAAGCCCCTGAAGAAACATGGAAGAACAGGATTGTGCTCATCACCTTTTGACGGCAACTGTCGCTGAACTCATTGGAGGCCGATGGGAAAGATGCCAAACATGGAGAAGTGGCTGCGTCCTTGGAACGAGTCATTGAATCTGACTCCAAATGCATCGCTACCTTCGTAGCTTCTTGTTCCTAGTGTTCACGCCAGGAGCTACTAGTAGCGATGCCCTTGTTCCTAGTGGCTTCTTGTTCTGAATCTGACTCCAAGGGTTCAGGGATTTTGCGGCACATTGCTGCGATTCACTCCAAGTATATACTTACACATCCAACACGTCTTCGCCTTTACATAAGACCTCACAAGTTTAAATATGCTTTCCGCTAGGCTGTTTTGCTCTAGGCTGTTCTAACGATTCATGTACGGTTCGGAGCGCAGCACTCCTCGCACGGAAAGTGAGCTCCCTCGTCAAGCTGATGACGATTGTTTTGCTTCAAGTGCTCGTTGGCCTGGCGTTGGGCGATTTGTTTCCTGCAGGATCTATCAACCCTTTTCCATCTGGCACTGTTTGTTCACCAGGGGTATTGTGTACTTCTCAGCACTCATTCAAGAGGTCAAGGTCAGCCATTTGGACCATTTTGGCTGCTATTTATTGGCGTCAGGTGAACGACTGAGAATCATGTTGTCATCCAATTTCATCCAGCAATCATCCTGTTTGGGACATCGCCCTGAGCGAATCCGGGCAGGTCCAAGCGCAAGCATCCACATGGCATTGACATGAGAATAAGGTGACATGAATGTGATGGCCTCCAACCTAATAGCGATGGTCTCCACCTAGTAGCTTCTTGTTACTAGTAGCTACTTGCTCCTAGTAGTACGGCCAGGAGCCCCTAGTAGCGTCCTTGCTCCTAGTAGCGATGCACTTGTTACTAGTAGCGATTTTGAGTCAAGTTCTGGAACATGGACATGTTTTTTCCAAGCTGTGAACCCAAATGAAATGTCCCAGATTGGGAAAGCTCAAGCGACGGACGAGGAGGAGAATGAATTGTTGGTCCACCAAGAAGGTGCTGGGTTGAAAACGAAAACCTGAGACATATGAGACATATGAGTCTGCGTTTTGGGCTTAACATGAGACTAGAGAGGTGAAACAGAGACAGAAGCTGAAGCAGGTGCTCCGATGCAAAACTTCCTCAAGATCGCGTGATTTGTGAGAAAGAAATGTATCGAACAAGAGGTCATGTGACTGAGCCCGCTTTGTGCTCCGGCGCGGGCCTTGCTGACGCAGTTATGCTTGAAATGTGCCGTTTTGAGTATGCCAAAGAGGCCCAAGCCTGAAGCTGCTCAGGAAGCTGGCGAGGTAGAACAGCACGGTGCAAAGTGCATCTCAAGTGTTTCCAGCACACTAGACAGACCGACCCATCAAATTTGCAAGCACGTGTGGCTAGATGTACAGTGAATCAGATTGGCCGATGGCATCACACGGATTCGTTAAACATGCTGCAGGCTGTAGATTTAGACTTGCAGTGAATCACTAACACTTCGGTAGCAACCCCCAAGAAATCTTCGATTCTGATTCAGCCATGCCCAGCGGACACGCAACACAGCTGCAAGATGTAGGGAGAGGGAAACATCAGACAGGAGGGAAACTCAGGTTTTTCCACAATTCTGTCATTAGTATAGTTTCTACTAGGTTGGAGGCCATCGCTAGTAGAAACAGAAACGACTTGGGAGAGGGTTCGGGCAGTTTGAGGATCATGAAAGGAGCCTTCGGGCTTGCTGTGCAGCTGCCTGGCACGGAGCCTAGCTGGTCGAACCATGCCAACTAGGAGCAAGAATCACCGAAGGAGTTTTTTTGAGACGAGAATCTTCAGATCATTGTGGCAAGTTAGGCCCAAGGCAATCAATTCCACCCCTTTTTACTGTAATTGCTCTGTTATTTTTTCAGACTTGTGCAGAGGAAGCGTGCGATGTAGGGGTGAGAGCCATGGCACAGCTGTTCCTGGCAGAAGTTGCAGAGCTGGCCGGTAGGTTTGATGACATGGCACAGGAGATGAAACGCTTCATTGACGTTGCGAAACCACTGACACTGTCCCAGACAGAAAGGAACCTGCTCTCTGTGGCATACAAAAACTCTGTGGCATCGCGCCGTGCGGCTTCCCGATCCATGAAGCGTATCATTGAAGAAGCCCAGGCAGCGGCCGGCAAGGAAGGGTCCACGGAAAAAGTCTGTCACAAGCAAGTTGATGCATCACTACGTGTCCTGTACGCACAAGAATATGGTGATCAGATCGCAGAAGAAACACGAGGAATTTGCATCGACATTTTGGAGATCTTGCATCAGCTCTTGGAGAATGCAAATTCCTCTGAAGACATTGTTTTCTATCAAAAGATGCAAGCGGACTACTATCGACACTTGGCGGAATGCCACGAGGGCGATGTGCAAAGCAGGATGCTTGAACGAGCTCGTTGGAGCTATTGTCAAGCAGAGGTTTTGGCCGAAAGAGATCTGGATCTTTGCCATCCGATGCGTTTGGCAGTTGCATTGAATTATTCAGTTTTCATTGCCGAAGTCGATCTGGATGAACGAGCTGCGCGACTGAAAGCGCGAAAGACGTTCCATGCAGCGTTGGAGGTCCTTGATGACATCCCGGAGGCATGGTAAAGTCATGGTGAGGAAACCGTGTTTCTGAGCAATGCAACAAGTACTGCTAATAGCTAGAAGCTACTAGTAACAAGGGCATCGCTACAAGTAGCATCCTTCTAACTAGTAGTTAAGGCCCTTGTTACGAACGTAGCGTCACAAGTACCACACAAACTCTTGCATTTGCATGGTGGGTTGTGTGGGGTCCAACTCACAGCTGAAGAGGATGTAAAAAACCACCTCACAGCTGAGAGCAAGATCATGGTTCGCCACAAGACGTTCTTGCGCACTTCCCCCCCATTGGCTGATGGACGCCATTCTCGAATGACCCTTCAGGGGTTGTCATTAGGGTTTGATGAATGTTGTTGCATTTGGTGTAAGATATGGAGATCCGAAGTCCAGATCGTGCCATAAGTCCGGCCTTCTTGCAACACAAAAAAACGAGAAGAGTCAGGAACGCAGAACCCTTGAAACTAGATGTTGGACCAAGGCTATTACAAATCAGACAGTAATCAATCGCTTCACAAGCAGGTGTTGATCGCATATGTGGCAGTTTGAGTGCGGATGCAGTTGGAGTTTCGAGCACGCGGAAACGAGGGAACTCAAATATTGCTTTTTTTGAGAGCGGCTGACCTGCAAACGTTTGGTGAAGAACCCTCTCCCCCCACAAGGCCTGCACTTTCTTTTCCTTTGCGCACGCTCTGCAGAGGCTTTCTAAAGCGCGTTTGTCCAATCGACATGTCGAAGGATTTCAGCCCAACTTGCTAAGCTGGGTCCGTGCCCTGGCCACCAGGCTGATAAGTGAATGCTGCCAGGTTATCAAGTTGGGACTTGCACATAACCACCAGGTAAAATAGGTTGATTGAAAGTTTCCTTCAACCTCGTGGTTACAGGAAGAGGTCTCTCAGGCCTTGCACTTTAAAAGGGCGTTGTTAGATTATGAGATGGTCATTGGCAAAGCTGCAGGAGTCTTACAAAGATGCCACCCTCGTCTTGCAGCTTTTGCGAGATGTGGCTCAGGGACCTCTGTGGGAAGAGTGATGGCAAAGTGAACTTGTGTGAACAGCTTGATGGCAACCTGACGTTTTTCTGAGAGTTCCTATGCAAGTGCTGGAGCGAAGCGCGCAGCCAGTCTGGCAACTTGAACTGTCGCATGCTCTCGGGTTAAAACGTGTTCTGAGATGTTCTGATTCCGTCAATGCAGTTGCCAACCACAGGTGTGTTGAATGCGAGAAAAGTTGATAATTGATCACACATTCCAGTATATAACCAGCTGGAGGCGCTTATTTGGCTTCACACCAGCCGTGACGATGTCTTTGATCCTTGGCATTTCTGCCAGTACGGTGTACCACGGTGCCTGGGCGTACTTACTGAATCGGAAGCTTGCTCCAAGCTACGTGCTTTTGCAGACTTTGACGTTCTTCAAGTTCCCAGATGCTGTTGTGATTAGATTGGAAAGTTTGTTCCTTGTTTCTTGAAAATCTTCCTGCACCTCATGGCCATTTAGGTTGGATCATGCCGGCTTGACCCTCAGCAAGTCATCAGGGCACACTACCTTCAGTGGGCAGTACTTCTCTAGAGCACAGTCAGACTAGCCTCCAACCTAATAGCAATGGCCTCCAACCTTTTAGTAGCGACGGCCTCCAAGCAGATGCTTCGTTTACCTCAGTTGTTTCTTTGCCTGGACCCTCAGGCTTCTGGGAACTGTTCCTTCCCCGCCGTACATTATAGAATAGTATATGATCTAAAGTTAAAGCTTCTGGTATTTTTTTCCTCCGCTTGTTTTGGGAATTCTTTTCTAATCCTTCTCCGTCATGTGCGTTTGTCACAGTTTTTCTTTCGTTTGGCTTGTGTTTGTGTTCTATCTTTGCTTCTTTTCTCCTGCCTTTTCTTGTGCTCCTCCGTCCGGTGCTTCTTTGGCTCTTTTTTCATTTCTTCTGCTCGTGTTGTGCTACTGCGTTTTCGTCTGCTTCCTCTTCGTTGTTCTTCTGTGTGTTTCTTCTTTGCCCACCAGAGCACCCACAACAGCAACGCCAAGGTAACGCGACTACCACCACCACCTAGGGTCCTATAGCGATTACCTTTGGCCAAAAGTGGCTGAAAGTTCATCATCTATCAAGGGGATTTCAAAATTAAGGCAGAGGACGATCCGCGATCACTGCGACGGGTTCAAATCAGAGTGTGCCAAAAAACAGTGCAAAGGAGTGAGCCAGAGAAGCGCCTCGCCTTCATTCACCTCAGACAAACGCTTTCGTGGCCAATCGTCGCACTTCCACCACCTCGTAGCCTCCCTTAGGCCTGAAAATGGCCTGCTGAGTTATTGGCCACAGACTGGATTCGTTGTCGAATCACGTCGAATCCAGATCGGCTTGACACTGTCGGACTGGGCAAAGCGGGGCAATGAGCTGCTGTTTCTGATGACCTGAGCATTTCGCGAGCAAGAGATATTAGTCGCACACCAGATTGGAGCCACGCAAGCAGCTCATCAGTGCATTCAGCAACATCCCTTGGAAGGCCCGTTTCGGGAAGAGAATCACGCAGTTCAGGAATGCCTGCAAAAGGTCGCAAGCTGCACCGGCTGCGAAGAGGGGACGTATCCAGCAACGCACACATGGGACGTATCCCCTGTCCCAAGTCACTCAAGGAGAACTCAGTACAATTGACCAAGCTTCACATGAAGCTCCTCAAGCCAGCAGTGAGCGAGAGGCATGTGACGGACAAAAAACTGACACGCAGACAGGCATACAAACCTGTATATAAATATGTTGCAACGTGATACATGTGTACTCGTGATGTGGATGCAGAGGCGGCTTGTCTATTCTTTAGTGAGGTCGGTTTCTGGCAGCATGGGAAGAAGGAATTATTTTTCTTCTGCGCCTTGGTGAAGCAATCGCAGAAGCTATTGACGTTCTTGTTCAATATAAGCAAAAAGCTGCTAGTCACAATTGTCATCGTCAGTTAAGGTGTGGAGGTTCTTTGTGTGCTTGCAAGCTGCCCAGTGAAAGAAGGGATGCTACCAAATGTGGGCCGAACTGCCCTTGTACTAGAAAAACGAAGGCAAAGTACAAGATTAAGAAACACATATATACTTCTTAAATTGGAGTGCAGTTTTGCCACAGTCAAAGAACTTCAAGATATTGTGCGGTCTCACGACCCGCGGTTCCAGATTAGCTACCTTACAGCAGTCCTTCGTGGTCCAGGCCAGTCTTCGACGAGCCCGTTTTCAGATTTCTGTTTGTGTCATTTTTGTCTCGCAGGATTTGTGCCCCTTGGGTGGAAACCTTCTGAGCAGGAGCCATTCAATGAACATTGAACACCTTGTGATAGCTCTTTGCTCTTGCAGATGGCTCAGATCCATTGGATGGGTGCTTCGGCTCGAGCCTGGTGGACAGTCTTAGTGATGGCGCTTGGGCGTGTCGCTGTTGCACCTGCATGGCCTTCAGCTTCACGAATTCAGCTTCAGCTTCCTGTGCGACACCATCAACCACATCGGGAATCCCGACTTACCCTCGTGCGAGGACAATCACACGATTCATTTTAGGGACACAAATGAGGAGAAAGAAACCCACACACACACACAAGGAGAAACCAGCGACGAAGGCAACAGTTTGCCAAACATACACCTCAACATTGCACTGGTGCATGATGCTTCAAGAAGCGCCTATACAAAAGCAAAAAATGAGGGTAGTGTCCTTTTGATTGTCTACCCTGGTCGGCTCACGCGCTCACACGATTTGAATCCTGATGGAAATGATCAAGTTCACCCAAACTTTGTCCTTTGTGGCTTTGGCATTGCAGGAGGTGCTCTCATTTTGGTGGGACTTGTTCGAGGCCGACCTGGTTTTGCGAAACAACGCCATCACCAAAATTCTGAAGGCCATGAGCTCAAAAACGTCTTTGAGTCCGTTCAGGAGCCTTTCTGACCAAGACATCTCCAAGCTGCACGTGCCACAATCCTTCAAAAGAAGTTCTATACCATTACCTTCCTATTTTCATCTCTGTTTTGTCTTTCGTTTAGGATGGAGGTCATCGCTAGTAGGTTGGAGGCCATCGCTTGTGGGGTGGAGGCCATCGCTAGTAGGATGGAGGCCGTTCCTTAGTAGTTTACTGTAATTTGTATTTTCTTGGAAGTGCTCAGTTTATCATTTCTTGCGGGGAGGTGGTGTGGTTCAAACCGCATAACTTGTCCCAAGCCTTTTGGGCACATTGAGGAGATTTGGGCTGTTCGATGTCCAGGTGATGGGGCTTATCGTCTTCGTCAAATGCCGGGCGTTGATGCGTTTTGCTATCCACAGCGGAAAGAGCAGGGTGTACTCAATGTGGTACGTGAAGACGGTCTGACTCTTTTGCTTTTGGCGCCGGACGTGGAGCCCAAGAGCCTTCCGCCCAACTTGCAGCAGCAGATGAAATCGGTTCAAGGATCCTTGACCCAGTACAAGCTTGCCCTGGACTACAACTGCTATAGCTACAAGGATGCGTTGAAACAGTTACTTCCTCCGTTGGTCACTGTGCCCACTGGTTATGAGATTGTGGGTCACATTGCCCATTTTAACCTGCAGGAGGAACATTGGCCACATCGATGTCTGATCGGCCAAGTTTGTTTGGACAAAAACCGATGCGTAAAGACGGTGGTGGCGAAGCTTGGAGTCGTCACGAACGAGTTCCGCACGCTTGACATGGAAGTCATCGCAGGTGAGAATGACACGCGAGTTTCGTTGAAAGAACATGGGGTGAAGCTGGAGTTTGACTTCCAGAAGGCCTCGGGCTTTACGAAACGTAGGCATTCCAGCATCTTGTATCGTATGCTCTCTTTACACCAGACAATCCGATTCATTCACTCAAAGCACCACAAAAACAAACAAAAACACACAAAAAACACAAACCAGTTTAAACAATCTAAACACACACTTTTTCATGTCCAGTTTTAACAAATCTGTTTGGACCTTGGACCCTTGAGGTCTATTGGAATTCTCGCCTGGCCGCCGAACGGGGTCGCCTTTGGACGCTGTGTGACGCCCACGACGTCGTCTTGGACCTGGCCTGTGGTGCCGGGGCCTTGGCCACGATGTGCGCGAGGCGAGGGGCTTCCGGTGAACCGAAATCGAAACCGTTCCGTTGGACCATAGGTGTGTGTTTTTTTCTAGTCTATACCCCTTTTCTTTTTTGCTTATTTTTTTTTAATTCTTTTTGGGGCTTAAGAACTCCCAAGCTTTTTGGGCCTTTTTTTCTTCAGACCTTATTCTTTTTTTGTGTGTCCGGTTTTGAGGAGGTCCCGACCAGAAGTTTCTGTTGATATTCCCATTCTGGTGCTTTCAGAAGGGGGAAAAAGCATTTGGCCGTATCGTGCAGGAAGGGATGTGTGGTCATCGCCAACGACCTCAATCCGGATGCAGCATGTTTTGCAAAGAAGAACGCTGCATTGAGCCTTGGTCACCACGTTGGCGGATTGTTACTTGAGCTTAGGGGATTCCCACCACTGCAATTCGCCGATTGTGACACCACAATGCAGTGCAGACTGTAAGACACGAAGCAAAGTACAAGGAAGTATGTTTGGTATGCATGCTTCTTGTTACTAGTAGCGATGGCCTCCAACCTACTTGTGATGGCCTCCACCTAATAGCGTCCCTGCTACTAATGTTGTCCTGAGTCCTGAGCCATTTTGTGCTATTCGTCCAATCTTCAGAACTCAGGACTTAAAGCAACACATGAAACAGAATCTGCCTGTGGAACGTTTGCAGAACCCCCACGAAGCTACGGCTGGCGGCAAGCATTCGAAGCTACCTCAGGCTCTTTGAATGCCAATCCTCCAGCAAAACACCTGGGTTCAAAGCCAAGTCCCAAGGGGTCCTACGCAACAAACCCTCCGAACGTTTTGTCTCAAATCGGTCCAAAGGGCAAGGGCAACTTGGATATATATATATATAAAACACAACCTCTCAAAGGTTTGTTTTCAACACACCATTTGCACGAAGAACAAGGAACAACAGGGACACAGCACTGCCATTCTAACATTTTCTAAGCAAGCCAGGTCCCAAGATGTCCAAGGGCTGCCAACAGAGGTCTGCAGAATTACAGCGCTCTCTTTCTCTCACAGTAGCTTCTAGCTCCTGGTAGTAATGCCCTTGTTCCTGGTAGCGATGCCCTTGTTACGTTCGTAGCTTCTAGCTAGAACAGTCTGCTTCGGGGTTCTCGGTGCATCGCTGTCCGTGTGGTTTTGTGACGTGGAAAGTTCAGTAAACATTCATTGTGTACGTAGTGCAAACTTGTGCTTAGTGTGTGTGGTTGTTTGTTGGTCTTGAGTTGCACCCGTAAACATGGCGGAGTAACTTCCAGCAAGCACATATGTCGGACACATGCACACGCAAGGAGATGGCAAACGTGGACAATTTACAGAAGCGATCAATGGCGCAGAACAACATGATATAATATGGTAATATTGCGTTGTCCTGGCTTGCCATGTTTGGCCCTCACATGCTCTGCCGGTGTCTCTCAGTGAGCCCCTTTGCCCATGCTTCAGACCAGCAGGTCCCAGCAGTGTGCAGCCAACAACTGCACGTGCTTTTCACAAAGGGCTCCATAGCAATCGCAAGCAAACGAGTGCACCTGTCCTGTTTTGGGCAGGTTGGAATCCTTTGCGAGGGTGTGAGAGTGTTAGTCTAGTTCAAGATGAACAACCTAAGAGCCATGGCCTCCAACCTAGTAGCAATGAATTCCAATGTCGAGTAGCCGAGGAACAAAGTTGAGGTTAAGACATTGTGCATGGATGCCAGAGATTTGCTACGCATGGCCCTGGACGATATTGAGCGCTTGAGCCTGCCGTACACGAGAAAGAGCACGCAGGCCCTTCCAACTGCAGATGATGTCAATGGCCCCACTGGCCCTGTTCGAGTTTTCTTTAATCTGCCTGAGCTGGCGTTGGAAATGCTTTGCGAGGAAGTGGAGGGCGTCATGCCAAGGGTCGTGCCCACCCCTCCTGGCGAGGGCCAGTCGAAAGTTTCCAAGAAAGTTCTTTCTGAACTTAAGTGTTCCCACTTTCTTGTGTTTTGCTACACTTTTGACTCCTCTACAACTGGAGTCTCAGAGCGCTTAGGGGTCCTTCCAAAGCATATGGCGTCAAAGGTTCGTCATGTGCGTGCAGTGTCCCCTTCGAAAGCGATGTTTTGTGTTGAGCTGGACTTTTGGCTAAAAAAGTAGCCTTCGGAACAAACACGGTCAGGTCAACCACATATTTACACATGCGTTTCACTACAGGAAGGAATTGGACCTTCTTTGGAAAGACATTTATCAGGAGCTGTCAAACCTTCTCCAAGCCTCAGATCTAGCACCTTGGCAGAAAGAAAATCACATCAAGCACATGTTGCGCCTGAAAGCTTCCGAGCGCTTGAAGACGCCGATTCTCAAGCCAGGAGGGCGTGCCATTGAAAATCAAAGAAATCCCAGACGAAGCCTCGGTCACGCGTTCGCGTGGTTCGCGTGGTTTGCACTTGCATCATTCGCGTCGTTTCGTGACCAAAACGGCTGAGGTGAATGATTTGCTTCAGTGGTGTGCTCACTGTCAAGGTTTTAAGCCGCCACGGGCTGAGAGGACGGTGCCATTCACCAAGCTGTAGGACGGTGCCTAAAAGCCTTTCAACCGTTTTGAGAGCATTCTTCCACGAAATTGCTGAAGCCGTGTTCTGAGATGTATGGACTAAATGTCTAGAGGCTCAAGCAGGATTCAGCGCGATGCGAAGAGTCCTGGCATGGAGCTTGCCAGTCACAATTCGGAGTGAAGTGTCCGACCATCAGGTTCAATGGCTGAAGTTTCGGCAGGCAGAGTCTCTGGATCTTGATCGCTGTGGGATCAATGAAGTGAACTTGAAGGAACCGACTTGGACGAAGCCGCGGCAGGTGGTTCGCAAGTATGGCCTCAGTCTTGAAAACTACCGAGAGGAGTTTGAAGGTCAAATTCCTGTAATCCTTGATCGAGCATATGAGAAGATGCCATGCACCAAAGAGGGATGGGTCGAATCATCGCTCATCGAACCGTTCAAAGATGAGCGGGTCGTGTTTGTGGCGCATGAAGCTAGTGAGAAGGGGCACAAAGAGCGTACGCTATCAGCAAAGCTGGGCACTTTCGTGAAGAACGTGAACAAGAATTCTCAACGAGCTTGGTCTTATGTCCGTGACGATTTCTTTCTTCAAAGGCATCCGGATCTACTCGCTTCATGTCCTTTGCTCCCAAGCATGTTTGGAGCAAGCAAGAAAACGAAGACAAAGACAGTTGAATCTCTGAACCAGTTTGAATTACTTCCAAAACTGCTCCGGCCACAAGCTGCCACTTTGCTTTGGGGAGGCCGATATTCAAGGTCAAAACTTCATGTCGACCGATATAATTGGACTGGCACAAACGTTGTGATCCGCGGGGAGAAGTTTGTGCGGTTGATTCCGCCTGGTGGCCATGACCAGCATTTGGAGGTTCAAAGATTGACATGTCCTTTCATCCATGGTGTTTGTTCTCAGCATGTGTTTGGGACTTCCATGCCTGCGCGCACCAGTTCAGTCATTTATGTTAAGATAAACCACGAATCTGTCTTACCAGGGAGATTGAGCAGCAAAGGGCTCCCAGAGCTCTATGGCTTTATTTCTTGAGGTTTGCTACCGTTTCTCTGTAGTTGCTTTTGTTTCCGATTCGCTTCGATCGGAGATTGTGCAGGAGACCCTCCAGTTCTGTGGGGGTTTATGACAACCGGCCGGCAAGACTTTTGGGTTTGTGTAGTTTTGTTATTGTTGCAGCTTTTGTTTCAGGGGTGTTTGGGGATCGGGTTGGTTGAATTGGCCTTGGCATCTTCAAGATTTCTGTATGTACCGGGTGTGCTTGAGGTGAGGCATGTGAAGTTTCAAGTTGGGGATAGTTGCGGGCTTCATAGACCAGGAATAGGAATAGCTGGAATAGCGATTTGTTCGGGGTCGCTTGTAGTCTTCCCCTGGTGACCGGTATTGGCTAGCGGCTGGAGCAGGCCATTTGTGCCACTGGGAGTGGGACAAGCACAAGGGTGTAGGCTGTCTTGACAGCAAGTTGCTACGTAGAGCTTGAGACGCTACATTGTCAACGCTGGTTCAAGATGTTCAAGACAAGCGCATTGACAAACACACACGCACACACACACACACACCGGGCGCACACGTATGCGACTGGGCTTTTCCAGGTTCATACGCGAGACCAATGGTGCATGCAGGAAGTTTCAATCATCACACATTCGCACACCGAAATGCATGTTGCTTTAATGGAGGTGAAGCATACTACCTGTGGTGCAGCATTGGGGTGCATTGCCTACGAATCCAACTTGGATCTCTTCGAAGATGTGCCACGAGGCCCGGACTATTTCAGCCATTAAAGCGTCTTTGCTACTATAGCGATGCGGCGATGGCGATGCCCTTTTGTTCCTAGTAGCTTCGTGTTACTAGTCGTAAGGCAAGGAGCTACTAGTAGCGTCCTTGCTCCTAGTAGCGATGCCCTTTGTTACTACTCGAAGAACGTCAAACAGCATTTGTGGTTTTCAAAAGCTAACAGCACCGCGCTCTTCACCCTTGCTTGTCCCTGCCAGGGGTGCCCCTTTGGGAGGCCAAGTTGCACTCGGGCGATGCCCTTATCATTCCTTCTGGATGGTGGCATCAAGCTGTGAACTTGGGCAACACGCTCAGCCTGGTCGGCGGCCCAGAATTCGTGGTGGACAACTCGAAATATCAAAGCGTGAAGGGTGGCAAGGCGGAGAGTGCTTTTCTTGTCTGGGTGCGTGAGCTGTTTGGATCGGTTGTTGGCTTGTGCACTCACATGTTCCTTCTTTCTTCTTTACGCACTCCTCAAAATGTTTTGTGTTCACTTCCGAACACTGACCCCCGTGGCACATGCTCAATGTTTGGCATGGCAGGTGCAGTAAGCCCTTTCGCTAGACCTGCGGCCGCCAGTTGCGCAGGGGTGTTCTTTAGTGTGGTGTGACTTGAATACTTTCATTCATGGCGGCTTGTACCCGAGCACCAGTTAAAAACCGCTTGCTTGCTGCTGCGGGACCCCTGAAATGAAAGGGACTAGCTGGCCGATGAGATCCTACGGAATCATGCAAGAAGTCAAACAGTATCCTTTTCTGGAGGCATGGCCACAGACACTGTGACCTCCGATCACCAAGAATGACAACAAATGGTCAGAAGGTCTACTACCTACACCAATTGCCAGACTTGTAGCCTAATGCCCAGAAAGTTACAATCCTAAAGTTGTTTAGCCTTTTTGCCTGTCCTAGCAAGCGGCGCTGATGTGACTCAACTTCAACTGTCCAATGTCGAGCTAAAGCTAAAGGCTAAAGAATAACATTGGGCCTGAGTAGAGCGCTGAGGCCAGTGGCTTTATCACACCTGCAGGTGGCTCGTGGTCTGCCATTGCAGAAGTAGTCCGATTTCATTCCAAAGCACATCCTGATTGGAAATGGGGTAAACTGCCGGCCATCCCTCAGGGCAATCTATCAACAGAAGACGCCACGCGTCTCTTCCGGCGCTTCATCAATGCATTGCCCAGTGGCGCGTTCAAAGCCGCGGAGCAATGGCTCGGAGAGGACCGGCGTCTTCGCACAGAGCTTTGAGATGCTCGAAGTGCTTTCGGCCGACGTGAAGAAGAGCCGCCAGATAGATCCTGCATAGAACCAGGGTAGAGGTAAAACCTCCAAGCTTACAAAGAAAGCTTCAAGGAGCCTGAGCTTCATGCTTTGCTTTCATCAAGGACTAGAACCGCGGAGTTGGCACAGTGAAGGTCCTGCAATGCGGCTGGTGTACCTGGTGATAGCTGGTGCACCGCCGACTTTGCTTGTAGTGAGCCACCCCCCTCAATTGCCTGCAATCGCCGCCAAAAAGCCGCATTAGATTCGTATTTTTTGGAGGGCATCTTTCGCAGTTGGAGGCAGGAGACGTGGGACTTGCTTATATATTCATCAGCTCAGACAGTGTACCAATGGTGAGGCAATTCAGTCATCTGTCTTTGAGGCCCAGAGCACATCACTGCTCCAGTTGTCGTCGATGTGTGCTAAGGCACGCAGCACTTGTTTCATGCACTGCCCCACGCTGCCCCGCGTTGAAGAGTTAGTTCAGTGTACCAAGATGAAACATATTAGGTGACCTTACTGGTGCCAGAAGAAGAAAGATTGCGTGTGGTGTATCCTGCCAGTATGGACCATCACTGTCCGTGGACCAATACATGTGTTGGTGGGCTCCTCGGGTGCTAAGGCTGCAGAGGCATCAAGAGAACATTGTAGTCTATCTGTAGGCATCCGAGTAGGAGTCCCAGTAGGGCAGACAGCCACATGAGGCCAGATTAACCTGAAGCCCTTCGTCCAGTTTGTGCACTTTGTGCCCGTGGCAACGTTTCACAGCGTTGGAAGCTCATATTGGACGTTGTTCAAATGTCAAGGTCTATGTTCCAGAAGCATTGTCCTTTGTAAGTTCGATGTGCGTTTTTGTGAACGCTCAAGCTCATGGTCTGGGATTGGGCCCCCAAAATTTTTGGGTTGGTGATCTCCGGCGCCCAAACCAACTGGTGGGGCATTGGGTGCCCCGCGCACTGCTTCGCCTCGGGAGTACCCTCGCTCCTTTTGGCCTTCCTCCTTGGCCTGTGCGTCGGGATTCTCACCACCTTGGTCTTTTGCATTTGGGGCCTTGGTGCTCTCTCGCTTCGACCTCCCTGGCTAGCGACTCCATCTCCTGCAGGTGCAGCTCCTCCTCCGGAACGTGTCCGGGCGTACTTGAATGAGCAATCGCTCGTCCCCAGCCAGCGGAGAAGACGAGGAACTTAATCTTTCTGTGGAGTTCCAGGGCTTGCAGATCACTGTTCGGGGCAACGCTGATCGAGCTGCTTCCTTCGTGCATCGCTTGGCCCAGGACACCACCAGAGGAGTACCCGACTCGCTCCCTGCGGGGGCCTACTCCAGTGATCTTCGTGTGCCTGCTGCTTCGAGCACTCCTAGCATTGCTTCTTGGCAGGAAGTTGAACGGTCATCCACACCACCGAGGAGGGAGACCAGGGCATCCATTGAGGCTTCATTTGCTCCTTGCCCTACTCATCTGCAGCAGCTGGCCGCATCCTTGGCTAGGACAACTGGAGGGTGGACCCCTGAGCAACGAGTGCAGAGGGCCTGGAAAGCTGGTAGCTGGGCAGCGGCAGTCAGAGCTGGCAGGGCACAAAGCCCAAATCGTACTCCCACCATTGACTTGGGGAACCGCTACTACGCTGTGGTCAGGGGACCGAACATCTCATCGCCCAAGGTCTACCGATCGAGCAGGGAGCTCTTTGCTGCGGTGGGGTCCCTGGAGGGATCCGATACTTTGTGCCACGGCTTCCCATCGAAGGTTGAGACAGAGGTGTACTTGGCCGGGGCAGGGTTCGTCAACGTTCCTTTCCCCTAGTCGAGATGGAGGAGGTCTCAATAGCAGATGGAATCCCGGAGGAGGACGAGGGTTTTCCTCCGCTGCACTCAGACTTCGGCCCGGCCATGTTTCTTCCCTACGTGTTGGACTTGGCTACTTTGGGGTTTGGTTCAGCTCACATCGCACAATGCCTGGCTTTTGTGGTGCTAGCAAGAAAGGATGGTGTCCTGCTGGCCTTGCCAGAACTTGCTGTCCCAGGCGAAGTCCTGGCCAGAGGAGATACGGCGGAGTCCACCGCCTTGGTCGGGCCCCATTTGAAAGCAGATTTTGGAGCTGCAATGTTGAACGAAGTTTCATTGTTGCAGGAACCTCTACCTGTTCGGGACCGTTCCATCCCCGCCGAGTTGGTGGACTTCAGTACAGAGGTTTTGCAGTGTATGAGAGGCTTGGAGGACGCCTCAGAAATTATGGATCTCCTGACCTTCGACTACCGGGAGCCGCTTTTGATTCCGTCTCCGGAGTCCTTGGTTGCAAAAGCCCTGGCATGGGCAAGAGGAGATTTGGAAGCAGTCGCCGAGAGGATTCACTTTTACTCAGCAGACGAGGTGCCTATGACACCCATCCCTGCAGAAGAGCAGCTTGGCTCCCCGAGAGATCCGCCGGGTCCCGGCATCAGATCAACTCCAAGAAGAAGAGCCACAGCTCCACGTGGTGGTGGAAAAGGAGGAGATTCAGCTACACCGACAACTCCAAAGAAGAGAGTTACGGTGGCCTCTTTAGCACAGACCTTGGAGGAGCTCAGTCAGACTCTTCCGGCGCTGGTCAATTAGGTGCAAGATCTGTCCCAGAGGACGTCAGCGATGGAGGCAACCACCGCCCAAGTGACAGACAGGGCCTCAGCCTTGAGAAAGCCCATTGGCAACTTGCCTATAGCTGGATCAGGAGATCCCTTGCTTTTGAAGAGCTTGGTATCAGAGATGCCCCCTCCGAAGTCTTCTGCACCCTTGAAGCCCAAGGTGACCTTCACACAGAGCGATACCGAAGAGATGCTGGTGGACCTTCCCGAGAGCTCGTCAGGCTTTGCCAGAGCCATGCTGGCTCAATCTCAGGCTCTTACTGCCTTGGTTGCTCAGATGGCCAACAATGTCAACGACCCCTTCAGCGACATGAGTTCTGCGACTTCATCCTTGTCCAGCAAGGGCTCAGTGGGAAGGGCGAGACTTCAAGCAGAGCTAGCAACACACAAGGGGACTTTCTTCACCAGCGTTCTGCAGAGCATGTCCCGGCGGATGTATCCCGCCCAGTCGGCAGATGTGGAGATCTCCGTGCTACGAGACAGAGGTGTTACACCGACCCAGTATCTGGAAAGGTTTGGAGGCTTCGGAAGAACCAAGGACATCGGCTTCATCATTTGGCAAGTTGCTCTAGCCCTCAATCACATGCAAGAGGAGAACTACTTGGCTGCAAAAGATGCGATGAGCCTTCTGTTTGTCTGCCTGGAGCAAACCGCCATGGACAATGGGAAGATGGATATCGGGCTTCTTCTGGCCCTTGTGGAGGATCCTCCCCACAGTCTCTTCAGTGGGAGGTCGGTGGCAGTGGCGGCAAATCCAAAACCCTTTGCTCCAACCGCCAATCAGAGGTGGGTCATGACGGCCCTCCAGTACCTGAAGGAGATGGATGTGATCTCAAACAGAAGAGTAGAAGCTACCTCGACGAAGCAGACTGCATCGGAGACTGCTCCAAACACGCCCGGCCCAAAGAAAAAGGGGAAGGGTCGTGGAGGCCCAAAGGCGAAAGCCAGCCAGTCCCCTCAGACCGTGGAGGAGGAGTAGAGGTTCCTGGCCGGGATGAGGAGAACTTTGCTGCTGAGGTATCCTTCGATGGTTTGCTTGCTTGCCTCATCCGCTGGGTCCTACGTTCCAGGACGGCCTTCGCGGCTTTACTTGCCAGATCTTTTCATGTCCGTCGCTTGAACTTCGGTCCAGCTACCGCAGTGTTTCCTCTGCCTATCCCTCACGATGGCCTATTTAGCCGGCAGAGTGACCTCAAGCTCTCACGGGCTAAGTGGAAGAAATTGTGTCACAGGCGAGCTCTTCACGTTCTCACCATGGCCTTGAACTACATCCACTATGGGTTTCGACCTTTGCCGATGAGTGTACTTGGGAGGCGCCCTTCACTGGCACAGCACTCCGTTTTCAGGAGACTACGGGCGCTGATCACTGCGTGTGATCGATCAGGCTGCACCTATCCTTTGCCGCCTGGAAGATCAGGTTTTGAATTCATTGCAAAGCTCGTTGAGTTGGAGAAGTTTGCCTACACCAACCCCTCCTTTGAGTTCGGCTACGGGGGCCATATTGGCAATGAGGACTCCGCTGAGGAAGTTGTTGGAAGGGTCTCTGAGGAGCACCGTTTTCGCACTACATCTACCTTCTCTCCGCTTCAGCCATATCGAGCTCTTGAGGCCGATAGACTCAAGCTTTCTGGTCAGGGCAAGTGGGACCTGCAAGAGCACCTCGACAGCTGCCTTTGGCTTCCATTCCAGGATCCGAGCATACTTCTGCATGGGCTACCTTTGGGCCCTGATGGTCCCACCTTTGCTCGAGAAGACCTTGAAGAGAACTTGAAGCTAGCGAGGCTTTGGGATAGCAAGGGATTGCTCGCGATGTTTCCTTCAGCTCATCCTACGGGTCTCGCTTGCAGGGTCTTCAACGCACACAAGAATGAGGAGGTTGATAGACAGATTGGAGATAGGCGCTGGTTCAATGCTGCAGAGTGCCATCCTAGAGGACCTTCAGCCCACCTCCCCTCTGGGCAACTTGCGACCTCCCTTCACTGCCCTCGAGGGTACAAGCTTGTTGGCTGCGCTGCTGATCGGAAGGACTTCTACCACCAAGCTGCTGTCACACGAGAGCGCGCCCTGACAAACACTCTCCCTTTTCATTTCGAAGCTGCTCAGGTTCGCTGCCTGTCAGCCTGGGAGGACATGCTGAAGAGCACCAGTGGAAAGGTGTCCAGGGAGACCCATGGTGACCGATATGGGATGGCCCCGTTCAAGCCTCTCAAGGAGAAAGACATCTCTTCGACTGTCTGTGGCTTCAAAAGCCTCTTCCAAGGAGACCATTTGGGGGTTGAGTTCGCTCTGGAAAGCCACACAAACCTCCTGAAGAGAGGGGGATTACTTGCAAATGATGAGACCATTTTGGCCCATCATACCTTTCCTGCTGGACCCTCTTGGCAGGGCTTGGTCATTGACGATTACTTCGCCATCAGTCGGGAGAAAGCAAGCACGCCTCCAATGCAAGCACAGTCCGTTCGTCATCTTGCCCGAGCAGAAAGCATCTACCAAAGCGAAGGAGTCTTTGGCTCTGATGACAAGACCATCAGAGGGGCTGAGACTTTCAAGGTTGTTGGTGCAGAGATCCTCTCTGATGATTATGCTCGCAATGCTGGAATAGTTTCAGTTGCAGCCCCTCTGTCAAAGAGGATCCCTATGATTGCACTCTCGCTACGAGCTGCGGCCCTTCCAGTTATCTCGAGGACTCTTGCTTCCAGGCTTGCTGGCAACTGGGTTTCGATTTTGATGTTCAGGCGTTGTCTGTGCTGCATCCTTTCTCAGTTATTCTCGCTGGGGAACAAGACGGAGTCCAGCGCCGATGAGGTCGTGAGTTTGACTAGACGCACCGCAGAGGAGCTCGTCCTGGCCAGTATCTTTGGCATTGCAGCGGCCACTGACATTTCAGCCCCCTACCTTGAGGAGATCTATGCGACAGATGCCTCCAATGCGAAGGGAGCTATTACCTGCAAGCATGTTGGCAAGGAGGTTGCTGAAGCTCTTTGGTTGGGAGGAGATAAGAAGGGAGCCTACACTATGCTGGATGCCCCCTCCAGGGCTATGCTACGCAGCATTGGCGAGGACCGTGATGCTGAGCCTGTCTCTGCCGACCTCATGAACCCTCCTCAGAAGATGATTCCTTTTGAGTTTGACTTCGTCGAGATCTTTGGTGGCTCCGGAACGTTGTCAAAGGCTGCTGCTGAACTGGGCCTGGTCACTTGCGCACCGATCGATTTGTCCAAAAGCCCTCATCATGACATCAGCAACCACAAGCTACTGGACTGGATCTTTCAGATGATCCATGAGAAGAGATTCAGGAGCCTCATTTGTGAACCGCCCTGCACCACCTTCTCTCCGGCACAGCATCCTGCTTCGAGGTCCTACAAGATGCCCTTTGGCTTTGACCGGAGGGACCCAAAGACCCACCTTGGGAATTTGTTGGCCTTCAGGAGCTTTGCTATCCTGTGGTTTGCTTGGCGATGTGGCACGCCGTCACTTCTGGAGACACCTTATCTATCGAAGATGGCTTGGCTGCCGATGTGGAGGTACCTCCTCGATATTGGTTTTACTGAGGCCGCATTGAACTCCTGTGCTTTTGGTAGCCCACACAAGAAGCCTTTCCGGCTCCTGGGTTGGGGCCTTGATATGCAAATGCTGACAGTCCCTTGCCCCGGAGGCCACCATCATGTACGGATCGAGGGGAAGTTCACAAAGCCTTCCGCAGTTTATCATCCTGGTGTTGCTAGGAGGATCGCCGAGTGCTTTGCCTCTGCGTTGAGGAAGTCTGAGCCGCCATCTACTCCCACTACCTCCTTGGAGAGTGTTGTCCTCAATGACCTTCTGGTGCAAGATGGTTGGTCAACTGTTGCGCACTGGGTCTGGGGCAAGCCTGGCCACATCAACATCTTGGAAAGTCGGGCTTTTGTGGCTCTGGAGAGGAGACTCCTTGAGGGTGGAGGTGACTGCCGGTTCATGACTCTGCTTGATAGCCGAGTTGCAAAAGGAGCCCATGCCAAGGGTCGATCTTCATCGCTTGCCCTGAGGCCTTCGCTGATGAGATCATGCGCATATCAAGTTGCTGGCAACCTCCATCCTTCCTTTGGTTTTGCACCAACGAGGCTCAACACTGCCGATGCTCCCTCCCGAGATAAAGATTTTCCTCAACCTGCTAGGCATTCAGTGCTCTCAGATCTTTCTCCAAAGGAGATCGCCGCCTTGCATGCCCATCAGTTCTCAAGGGCTTCAGCCAATTGGATCAGGCTCTACCTCTTGGTTGTCCTATGCCTTTGCCCTGGTGTCGCAGCCAGCTCTAGCGATCGCCCACTTCATTATGCACTCTCGAATCATTGGATTTGGACTTTGGCTTTGATTTTTGGCCTTTCCTTGCTCTGTCGCACCCAACTGCTCCATTCCAGGTCTGGATTTCCCCATGACTTCTCTGCTACCTGGACTTTTGATGGGTTAGGGAGTCGGAGATCTTACGGTCACCCCCTTACCGGCTTTAGGGTTGGTTCCCAGATCCATGTTGCAGCCATTTGGGCCGCGCTCCGCCCCGCATGTGCCATGCCACTCCAGCCCTGCAATAAGGACGAAACTCTGCGAGCCGAGAGGCGTGCGGGGAATGTCCTGCAAGCCGACCGAGTGATACTGCAGAGCACCCGAAACAGGCGAGATCATTTGTTGGCCGCCTTTGATCGATGGGTTGCCGAGAACCTCAGGACCACTCTCGAAGCTATGTTGGAGCCTCGATCCCTCGATGCAGAGGCCATTTCAGATGCCCTCGTAGCATACGGCAAGGAGCTGTACTCCTCAGGGAAATCCTATGGAAGGTTCTCTGAGACCATCAATGCAGTCACGGCCAGGAGGCCGGCTTTGCGGAAGCAGGTTGCTGCTTGTTGGGACTTAGCTTTCAACTGGGTCGTTGATGAGCCTCACGAGCACAACACAGCACTACCCCATTCCATTTTATTGGCGACAGTCGCCCTTGCATTGCTATGGGGTTGGAGCCGCGAAGCGGCCTTGTTTGCCATGGGTTGGTCTGGAGTTCTTCGTATAGGTGAAATCTTTGCTGCGAAGAGGGAAGATTTGATACTTCCCCGAGATGCTGCTCCAGGAGTGCTTTATGCACTACTGAAGATCCGCCTCCCGAAAACTCGAGGACGAGCTGCACGACATCAGTCGTCAAGGATTGACCCGGTTGACGTTGTTGCATTGATAGATGCTGTTTTTGCGAGGTTGCTTCCCTCCGAGCCCTTATGGAACCGCTCACCTTCAGCATTGCGGAAGAGGTTTGCTGCATTGCAATCAGCACTTGGCTTGGACGGGGGCCTCGGGCCGGGAAACCTGCCCTACTCGCTGGCGAGCCTCCGTCCAGGGGGCGCCACGTTCTGGCTGCAGAAAACAGAAGATGCGGAGTATGTCCGGAGGAAAGGTCGTTGGCTGTCGACCAGGGTGCTTGAGGTGTATTTACAGGAGAGTGTTTTCGCAACGTATACGCAGAAGATGACTGTCGAGAGTCAGAGCCGTGTTCACCACCTCTGTTTACACTTCAACACCATCCTGGTCAAGGCCATCCAGCTAAAGCATGCCTATATCCCCGAGAGTGCCTGGCCCCGTTTGTGGTGATGACGGAACGTTGGGATGTTGGGCCAGCTTGCTGTGGCAAAACGCCACCATATACAGAGCAGACTCC